ACCAAATTTAGTCTTATTCTAAAAAAATATATGCTCTAAAATAATTGTTTGTCGAAATATTTTAAAATTTATTTGGTCGTCTAGGGCAAAAAAGGATTTTATTTTTTTTACAAAAAAATATTAAATTAATATCGGACCATAAAATCAAGATTCTTGACAATTTAACATCGAATCCAAATAAGTCCCGATATAATTGACATGCTAGGAATGAATTAATAAAATAAAATAAAATATTAAATTAGGACACAAAGGAAAACTGGCCCACACTTGTCTTCGGTAAAACACAATTTTTGGTAGGTGAAGAGTCGAGAGTAACAATGGTCTTTAATAAATAAGATACTTGTCAACTTGAAATGAACACTCATAAATAATCTAAAAAGGAGATTCTTTTTATTTTTTGTTTTTTTTTTAATTGCAAACCTAGTTTTATATGAGTTTGTCTATATGAGTTTATGGTCGGTTCCTAAAATCCAAGAGACTTGTTGTCAATTCTTAAAACTTAATAGACTTGACGATCTCATATTTAATGAATTAAATTTCGAAACTATAATTAGCATGCAAAAATTCACAAGCACAGTATAAAATAAGTACAATAGAATCGACACTTTTCCCAAATACATAATTCAAGATATTAGTCGTAAAAACTCATCCTCCTAACCTTGTCGTAGTGCATTGAATCCAATCATATATCTTTTCAACAGTCTCGGGCCCAAGATCTGCAGATTTAATACACTACGATGTATCTGTCACACTTTGACATACTATAATTAAATTGCAAAAAGAATAAAATAAATCAATAAGCTTAAGGCATCGAAAGTAAATACTAATGGTTCTAATGAAATTTTTTATATTAGCATTTTACCCCTACATAAAAAGAGGCAAAAAAGTACGTTGGCCTATTCTCGAGACCGACCATTTTGGCCTTTGGTGCCCAAAAATTCTCCAATAATAGGCTGGCACATGGCAAAAGTCACATATATTCAAAATTACAAAACTGCCACTTACAGAACTCAAAATTTGTCATTCTTATTTCAGAAACTTTTGGTTGTTTGCTTTGCGTCTCTCTCGAGCTTTCTAAATACTTTATGACATCAAAACTTGCTCTGGGCTGTAGATGAGACGGCTCTCTACACCCTCAAATAAAGAATATCACTCTAAAAAGACTCCTAAAAATGGAAGAAAATGGACCTGGAAAATCTCAACTTCAAACTGAAACAGTTGTTTTGTTCTAAGTTCTTTTTTTTTTTTTTTGGCGCCAACAACCCTATTTTGGGTTTAATTCTCGAATTCGCTAGTCACTTTCTAACTTCAAAACTTATTCTAGGATGTAGAGAGGACGACACTCTATACCCTCAAACAAACAAAGAATCACTCTCAAAAGCCACCAAAAAAAAAAAAAAAAATCAACTTGAAAAATTTCTACTTCAAACTGAAACAGATCCTTATTTTTTTCCCCAAGTTTCCTGGGTTACCAACGTCCCTATTATAGGCTCAACTCTAAAGTTTAAAACGAAATGTAAGTGACATGAAGTTTTCACACCTCAAACATGGATATATAGACTGTAAAACGAGATAATATAATGAGTTGAAAACAGTACCTCTTGAAGAAAAAAAAATCGTAGAGTTGGGAGGTTGGCAACAACGAGTTTTTGAGTGGTCCGTGTTGGGATGGTTTTTCTCCCCCTTTCCGTCATTTTTTTCACCCTTTCTTTTTTTTTTAAAAAAAAAATATATTCTCCACATTTCAAACTCTTGCTCCCTAGCTTTATTTTCCTTTTTCTCTCCAATTTTTCTCTTTCTATTATCATGCTTTCTCTCTCCTTAACAGTGTTTTTTTGGCTCTGCTTTGTTTTCTCCACCTTCTTCTTATAACTTCTAAGGACCTCCTTTTTGTTTTTCATCCCAACCATTCATCCTTCATCTATAGATCGTGGTCCTTCTTTTGAAATCCCCAAAAATCCTCTTCTCTTGTTCATTCATGGTTACCAAAGTGTGCTGTTGTAGGAGAGGCGATGATTGTGGCTGCCAAAATCAAGGGCAAGAGAAGCTAGAATGAAGGCCGTTTAGTGGTGATGGGAAAGAGGGGATGATGGAGTGTTTGGTGGGCAAGTTTCGTGACTTTTTGGACCTGCAAAACTTCAGATTTTCGATTGAGAAAACCCCTTGCGCATGGGAAATAAAGAAGAAAATGAAAGGGGTTGTTGGACGGAAAGCCTTTTCTTAAGGTGGTTCCCGTATGTTTCAATTTTATTATAATCAAGTCCCTCAATTTGTTGCAATTTGACCTTTCAATTTCACCAATTAGGTCTTTAATTATTCTCAAATTGACCCGTGATACTTTCAAATATTTTTTTAATTAAACTTCCCTCTCAATTAATCCTATTTTTATTCCCCTTAGCTCTCCCTCTCTCTCTTTTTAATTTCCCTTTTCTTTTCTTTTTCCATTTTCTTCTTTATTTCTTTTTTCTCTCTTATTTGTTATTTTTCTTCTTCTTTGTTATTTTTTCTCTTTGATTATCCATATATATTATTTTATTATTTTTTTCTTTGTTTATTACTTTTTCCTTTTTTTTCTTCTTCTCTTTTTTTTTATTTTCTTTTTCTCAATTTTTTTATACTCGAGCATTCCTTTTGACACTCATAAAACTCATAACAACTCAAAAAAACACTAAAATTTGAAAAATCAAAGAAATCAATAAAAATGTTTATTTTTTGGCTTTTTTTTTTTTTTTTTTTTTTTTGTTGTAAAAATAGGAGGTAAAAAACGAGTGTTAACAATCTCCAATTACTCGATAATTTCCACAAACACAAATATTAAATATCGTTAATTCTTATTAAGTAATTAGTAGATTCTAATAAACTATCAATTAATTCAAAAAAAAAAAAATGTATTCAATTGCTGTATAATTAACGAAGAATAAAGGTAATTTAAAGAATTGGACTACCCTTGTTTATAAATGTTCAATTTCAATCAGGCTGTTCATGTAACAAAAACATTTGTAGTGTGATTATTTATTACCCTCCATATTATCAATTATCTTTAACCTTGACTCCATCAAAGAGAGAACTTAAACTGAATGTGCAAAACCTAGTCCGAAGACAAAGGATGCTATTAAAACCTTAAAAAATAAAAATAAAAATTACTCGAAATTCTACAAAACCATAACTTAATTTTGTAAGCAGTTTTATTTGTGTAATTTCTAACTATAACAATTTTCTTTTATGCCGCATAATCTAATTCAATAAATTGTATGGTTGGAGAAAATTTTAAGCTTTTATTTTAGAAGATGGAGTAATGAGAAGTAGAAAATAGTGAAATAATTATATATGCCTTGCAAGTTTTAAATTTGTTTTGTATTCTAAATATAACTAGTCATTCAGTCATTCTTAACTAGCAGATAATTAAACATTTCTTGTGATGATTTTATTAACTACAATTGAAATAAATATAAATATATTATTATTTATAACATTAACTATTTGGTATTGAGAAGTTTACAAAATAAATAAAAGAAAAAAAGCGAGTATCTATGCGAAAGCTAGCTGAATCGTTTATCTTATTATGACGTAAGTGCTTTTTTCACTTGTGATACGTCTGGACACAAGGGAGATAGATGAAACCACGGCTTGACAATACTTGACGAGAGGAACACTTGGAAGGCTAGACTAACCCTTCTCATTAAAAGAGACAAATATTAATCTAATAAATAAAAGTACGTTCTCAAAATTATTTTTGTCTAACCACCGCCGAATAAATATTAGCCATCGTCGACAGAAAAGAAATGAACAATTTTACTCCATTTTTTTTTTTTTACACAAATAATCAAGAAATTACAAATAGGCTTAATTTAGTAGTTGTGTATCTAATTAGTCTTCCTAATTAAATAAAATTCGAATCCTGATAATTTTAATTTCTTTGATGATTATGTAATTTTAATTTTTTTTTTTTTTTTTTTTTTTTTTTTTTATGATTATGTAATGAGAAGGGTTACTCTCATTATATAGTCCAATAGGTCCATTTGCGTCTGATGAATAAAAAAAATAATCAATAGATTTAAAGTTAAAAAGTCCTGTATCTCAACCTTTTAGGCTAATACTCCTCCTCCAGACTCTAAATTGAACCTTGAAGAGCCTTCGTTCAGCCAGAAATTGATCCTTGAAGAGTCTTTCATTGACTTGTTTTTGTAAATAATGAACCTCATCGTTAACCACTGTCGATGTTCAAAACTGAAAGGAAGGGAAAAAAAATATCAGCACAAAAGTGAATGAAATGAACCGGCTAGGGAAGGAGATGGTGCTTGCAATAAAAGACATGGGGCAAGACACGGTGTCAGCTGACATAGAATAGAAAAACAGAAAAATATTGAATGAGAGGGGGCGGATATTGCCACGGCAAAAGCAAGGGAAAGGTGCACGTATGCAATCAAAGCACGCACAGAGCATAGAATAAATCGGCCAGCAAAGTAGCAAATATCGCCAATCCAGAAAACAAATGAGAAAATATCGCCAATAATCATGAACATGGTGAAATAGAAATGTATTGTCCAGAGAAACACAGTCACACACATTCACGCTGAGAGAGAGAGAGAGAGAGAGGTTTTAGCTGCTGCAGGGTATAAAAGGTAGTACTGCAGCCAGCCAGCATCCCCATCTGACATGCCTCCCCCATTGCACTTCAATTTTAAACGTTACAATACATTTTGAAGAAACCAAAGTTCGTTACGTACTGAGGGCGTGGCGTGGCGGGGGTGGTGATGGAAGAAACGGATCAAAAATTTTAAGAAGGGCAAAATCAGTACTAGTACTAGTACTACCACGATATACATTGCATAGGCGGACACAAGACACCTGATTGTTAACTTTGTTTTTTGTCTTGTCCTAGACTGTGCTGTCATTCAGTCACAAGCAGGGGCAAGGGCAGGGTCCGTTTCTCTTTCTCATTTTTACTTACATCAATCTTGTTTTTAGCGAAAAGGGAAGAGAGAGAGAGAGAGAGAGAGATGGGTAAGAAGAGGAGTGTCTCTGACGAAGCAAAGACGTCAAGAAGTCATGAGGTTGGAGTACTTGATCAGACCACAAAATGTCTCAACAATGGCTTGCCTCCTCCTCACGACCCCCAAGGTTTTTTTTTTTTTTTTCAACTCTTCTTTTTTGTTACCATCCTTATTTTGTTGTACAGTGTGAAATATTTAGATGGCCTTTTTCTATAGACTAGAGCATAAATTTTCTTTTATGTTCTTGGATGTTTCAGTGTGTTTTTCTTTTGTATTTCACTCCTTCTATTTATTTATTTATTTTGGGATATGTGAATTCAATTTCGTGTTTAATCTTTGTGTGTTCATGATGTCTCAGAAAATAGAGATGATCTGTACACTAAACTGTGGCATGCATGCGCCGGTCCTCTTGTTTATGTACCGCGAGTTGGTGACAAGGTTTTCTACTTCCCTCAGGGTCACATGGAACAGGTTCTAGTGAATTTAATCATCACTTGATCTTTTGCACATTGCAATGGAATTATTGCTTTGATTTTTTTTTTTTTCATCGATTGGGAATAAAAGAAACAAGACAAGATTATTTGTACTGGATTCCCAAAATGTTCTAATGCCTTATGAGAAGGTGCTGAATTCGTTTGTGAACACCCATAAAAAATTATAGAAACCTAATTGCTATTGCTTGTAGCATTTGAGTATATATATTGGTGTTCTGTAATGTGCTCCAGGTCGCGGCATGCATGAATGAAGATGGTATGATAGAAATGCCCATCTATGATTTACCTTACAAAATCCTCTGCAAGGTCGTCCATGTTGAACTTAAGGTATTCCATTTCCATGGCATTGCTTGTTTGTTTTGATCCATTTGAAATGATGCGTGTGGATTATATGGTCTGAGACTCATAGATGGGTTGAAAACTGTGTTGCATTGCGTGAAGTAAGTTAATAAAGTTCTGTAGCGTTCTTAGTGTTTTGTTGTGATCTTGCAGGCTGAAGCTGGAACTGATGAGGTGTTTGCCCACATAACTTTGCTTCCAGTATCAGAGGTTAGCTAGCTGCTGATATTGTGATTCAATCTGCAAAATTTTTATGTTCATAAATGAGTGGACTTATCTCTTCTTCTTTTTTTCAGTTAGGTATTTCTATTTCAATTTAGATATTAATTAATTAATCAAGATCCATGATTCTAGTGATTTGTTTATTTTTTTTGTTTTTATATCCACCAACTTGTTTTTCAATGGAGACTCTTGATAATGGAAAGCAGGAAATAAAATTGTCCATTAAGATTCCATGGAGATGACCCGATTCATTTTCCTAAACTTATTTATAAATGCTTTTGTTAATTACCTCATCTATCAACCCATGCTTATGCATTGTTTCCCTGCAGGAAGATGAGCTAAGCTCAAACAAGGATGGAAAGTCCCTGTCCTCGCACAGAAAAACTTGTGCACGATTCTTTACCAAGAAACTTACTCCATCTGACACGAAAACACATGGTGGATTCTCTGTTCTAAAGCGACATGCTGAAGATTGTCTTCCACCTCTGGTTGGTATCCTTACTATGATTTACTTAACAACTGCACACTGTACTCTTGAGTTTTGCTACCTTGTTGGTTTGGTTTCTCCAATTGCGGTTATCAATAACAACATGGTGAACCCATTAGCTGTCATTCTTACTCATTTTTCACCACAATGATTTTAATTAGATAATTTCTTTGTGTTAGGCAGATGGGGGATCAATTCCCTTGTTGAATATTTATACTTTGTCAATCTACGCTGAACTATTTGGACAAGGGTATTTTGTATTCATATGTTATAGTTGGTGGTGCAGGACATGTCTCAGCAACCCCCAATGCAGGAACTTCTTGCCAAAGACTTGCATGGGTCTGAATGGCACTTTCGACATATTTATAGGGGTAACTCCTACTTAACTATAGATGTCGAAATATCTAGGCTTGAAATAATTCAGCTCGTTCTACTTCTATTTTTTGGTATAGTGTTAAAGGATATGCATCTTCATAATTCATTTGCGCTTATTGTTTGTAAAAAATATAGCATAGCCTTTTTATCTTATGTCCATATTATCATGTTCATACAGTAATCATACCAATGAAGTGTTTTTCTTTCAACATGGAGGATGTTCTGTTTCTAATAATGCTGAAGGAAGAAAAAAGAGAAATGTATTTCGTTGTCAATGAAATCACATTGGGCTCACTTCAATTCCTATGTAATCGTCCATAATGAGCAAGCACCAATCGCACATTTATCATATGTATCTCTATTGTTTTGTGGAAAATGCTTCTTTTCTAATCTTCTACTTCGTTTTTTTTCTGCATCATTGTAGGTCAACCAAAGAGGCATTTACTGACTAGTGGTTGGAGCACATTTGTGTCTTCAAAAAGGCTTGTTGCTGGGGATTCATTTATCTTCCTTCGGTGATCTCTCTCTCTCTCTCTTTCATTGTTGTTGTGCGTATCGAAGGATTTGACATTTGCTGCATGAAGTTCGTTAAATTATCTTTGTAAAACTGATATTTTCATGTATCTGCTAAACACTGTCTTTAGTGACTAAAAATAATATTCTTTTGTGGCTGTAAGTACCATTATGTATCAATATTCATTTTAATAATTGTAATATGTTACAGGTTCCAGTTTCATTGATATCTCTTTATTTGTCAGATAAATAACAATATTTGTTTTCAGAGGTGAATCCGGAGAACTCCGGGTTGGGGTGCGCCGGGCAATGAAACTAGACAACAATTTATCAGCAAATGTCATATCTGCCCATAGTATGCAACTTGGCATTCTTTCCAGTGCTTCCCATGCCATTTCTACTGGAAGCATGTTTACAATCTACTTCCATCCTTGGTGAGCAATAGTCGTCATGTGATGACTTCTGAAGTTCTTTAGAAAAGGGTCATTGACTCTAGCAGTTGTAATGTGCTTGCTATGATTTTAAGTTTTGAGCAAGGAACTTTTAATGCCTTTTACAGGACAAGTCCTGCTGAGTTTATCATTCCATATGATCGATACATCAAGTCAGCTGAAATTGATTACACTGTTGGGACAAGATTCGGAATGCTGTTTGAAGGAGAAGAATGCGCAGAACAGAGGTGCCAAACCTTTGGAACATTTTGCACTTTTAGCACATTTTAAAAATTTTGAATTTCTGCAGTGCCAACTGTTGAATTGCATATTATCCGTAATCTGCGGGGAATAGGACATTGATTTGGATGAACAGCTTAACTATCCCATAATTACTGTGATTTGACATGCTATTAACATAAATTAAATGAAAATAATGCACAGTTATGCTTATGGCATATAATATAAGCCACATTCCTTCCTTCTATCATCTGTTGACCACATATAGTCACTGTACCTTTAGGATTGAAAGATTTGAGGGCACCGTTGTTGGCACTGAAGATGTTGATTGCATTCGGTGGCCCAACTCAGAATGGAGGATTCTCAAGGTAAAAAGCCATTTTCTATGATTTCAACATGCTATCTAGCCTCTTGAATGTATCCCATTTTGTTTTAATATTTTATAACCTTGAGTCCTTATAGGTAAAATGGGATGCTGCTTCGGATGCATTCGTGCGTCCAGAACGCGTTTCTCGATGGAACATCCAGCCAACAGAACCTGTAAGCAAGAAGCATGCTTCTCCTTTACACCAACGAAAGAGGGCATGTATAGCTGAGAAATTGCTGCCCAGGTTTCTTATCTCGGTCAAGGATGGTCAGTATATTTTATCCTTGGAGTTTGGAAGCAAATTTTGTGTTTGCTTCTGCAATTTATGTTCTGACTGATCAAATTTTCTTTTTACTGGCAGGCTTCTTGCATAGTTCAGTTGAGTATGCAAATCAAAGCCTCTCTGAGGTCTTGCAAGGTCAAGAAGACAGGGACTCTGGTGCTAATCATTTCGGTGCATTTAAACCGCCTACAGTACCACATTTGATAGCCCCTCCAAATCCTGATTGGAATGGAAAAGATAATCAGGTGCAATTTTGGATGCACAGCCCAATTTATCAATGTCCCAGCAATACGGTATCATTTCCTGGTGGAAACATAGCACGCCTGGGTATTCCTAATAGCTGGAGCTCCACACTTAGCTCTTATGGAGTCCATGATAATGCTGTTGGAAGCAGAAGTTTGTCGGTTCCAAATGTGTCTCGCAATTCTAGGTCTCAGGAATGGACAGGTATTGAACTGAAGCATGCAAATGAAGTCCCACTTGCTGCCCCGCACAGCGGTGGCAGCAGGTATATGCTTTTTGGTGTCAATTTAGTAAGTAATCCACCGGAGCTCCCTTCACCACAAGTTGCCAATTCTGTTGTGCTTGAAAGTCACAATTATGTTCCCGTAACATCTCAGTCGAGTGTTTCAGAGCCATCTAAGAGCACATCAGGAGTTAATTCAGAAATGCAGTGCAAGAACTGTTGCTCTGCTACTATTCGGAGTAGCACAAAGGTATTCTATTGTCTTCATCCTTTTTATTTTAGGAAGTAAACTTTTAAGTTGCCCTTTTAGAGGAGGAGCTGCATACGTTAAAACACCGCAAGCAAAACATAACCCCGTTATTTAACGGAATCCCATTACCATTTTTTACCGTTACAAGAGAGGAAACGACGTTTCAAGGCCGTTGCACCATTATATAACGGTTTTTAACGGCCGCTATACCCGTTATTTTAATAGAGAACGCCGTTATTGGTGCTCTTCCTATCAAGTTTGTTTAAATTATCGAGTTTAGCTTCATCGATCTTCTGTTAAATCAGATTGAAAACGAAAGAGAGAGGGAAAGACAATCTTAGAGAAAAACTTAGAGGAATGAAAAAAAAAAAAAAGGAAGAAAAAGAAAAAGAGAAGAAAAGCTGCGGCTAATAATTAAATACACAATAAAAAAGTATCATTTCTTGAAATTGCTTTGGCACACCCAATATCTGCCCAGTTGATTGTTTTCTTCTATTAAATTTGAGATAGTTGTCTCTCTCTTAGGTGCTCAAATATGGAACTGTACTTGGAAGATCTGTTGTTCTCACGCAATTCGATGGTTACAATGAACTCATTTGGGAGCTTGACCTGATGTTCGACTTCCAAGGAAGTTTGATCGATGGTACCAGTGGGTGGTCTGTAGTGTACTCGGACCATGAAGGGGACATGATGCGGATTGAAGAATGCCCATGGCAGTTAAGTATCAAAAGCTCTAAACAGCTTGAGTAGTCTTCCCCTTCCCAAAAAAAAAAAAAAAAAAAGTATTATTCATTGGCGTTGCTTTTTGCTGCATATAATGGTTAGCTGTGAATTAATTTGGAATTACTGTCATTTAAAATGTAGGGAATTCTTATTGACAGTCCGAAGGATTTTCATCTGCACTATGGAAGACATTGGCAAGCTGAATCCACTCTCACCAAATCCATCGCCTTCAGAGTAACTGTTGTCTACTAGGTCACTTTGTGCCTTGTGCCCATGGGCTTGCATTCATAGATGTGTCTGTGTGAAGAGATGAGGACGCAGTGTTATAAGAATTACATGTGTGTGGCATCATGTTGATGCAAATAAATCTGAATGCAGTACTTATGCTCTAAACTAGTTTTTTTTTTTTTTAATGAATACTTGGAAAAGGATCCATATGGCCAATCCCTACTGGTTTGGGATTTAGGCGTTGTTGCTGTTGCTGCTGCTGCAATACTTGAAAATAATGTTGATGCGGCTCTATGTTTACCTGTTATACACTGATTCACGTATGAGAGTGCACAGGGTTTATATCCCGTACTGTAGGATGGTAGTGCTTTGTTTGAGGGAATTCTGACACTACAATTTGCAAGGATCCCTGTGAGATGTTTCATATTCATTCTTCCATGTCTAAACTTGCCTAGGCACATTTGTTTTCCTATCGTATAAGCTTCCTGAGATTTTGCTAGCGTTAATTGATGAAAGAATTGCCTCCTGACAACAATTTTTCTAGTTCTTAAAATCAAATAGTATGAGGCCTGGAGGTCAGATAGTCCTGTAGACTCAGTAGAAAATCTTGACTTTGTCGAATGTTTGCTATCCATTTCTGGATGTCAGTTTGTTTTGCTTGAGGTGTGGAGTTTGATTGTCCTTCAAACTCATCTTGAAATATTTGTTTCCAAGATCTAGTTTTGTAACAGGGAGATGTAGGTTTTGAAGAACTTTGTTGGGCGCTTTGTTGGAGTTGTTTGGCCTTGTCATCTGGTTTTTTTCGAATCATTGTGATCTATAGCACAAAAATTCTTTGGTTAGATAATCTGAGATGGAATTTTCTTCTCTCTTAATATATTCAATAACATAATAAAAAATACTTAAAATACCTAGCCACCTAGCAAAAACATGTTTTGATGCTATATTTTGAACCTCTTTTTGCAAAATTTCTTTTTTAGATTTGCAATCAACACATAAAAAAACTTTTGATTTAACAAATCACTTTGAAATTTTGTATATTCTCTTTAAAATCACTATTCATACATTGTGCTTGCTACTGTTTATCTGAAAATTTACACTTTGATCCCTCTTCTTTCAATATTTTTTTTCGATTCACAATTTTATTTTTCGTTTGTTTTAGTCTTTGCATGCTAATAGGAGAGAAACACAAAGAGAGAGAGAGAGAGAGATAACAAAACCCATTTTGGGCACCTTGATGATTGATCTTGCAATCATTTTTTTCATCTCAAATGTGGTGGTGATAAGCGATGAAATGGTCGGAGAAGGTAGATTGAGATTCAAAAATATTTAGAGTTGTTTTTATTTTGATTTGAATTTTTGTATACATTAAAATGAGTTTTGAGGTTTTAAACGAGTTTCTTATGTTATTTCTAAGATTTTAAGGTGTTTTTGGATAAAAATAAGGCTAAATTTGGTGAGAGCGGCTAGAAATTATAAAACTCAACTTTTCGATAACTTTTCTAGCGAATCAAAGTCATAAAAAATTACAGAGATTGTCGGATTAAAAGCAACCATTTTTTTTTAGGCCTAAGGGCGAGGGCCTCATCCTTGTTTTTTTTTTCAAATACAATTTTTTATGCTAACATTATTGATTATTTTGTAAAAATAAAAAATAAATAGATCAAATGCATATACTTTTAAAAAACAATCTTCTCAACAATATTAAATAAAAATAAAAAAATATTTTTTATTGGCTAATTTTATGCAAATTTATACATTAATTGTAACTTTATTTTTATTTTTTGAATGCATTCTTATGAAAAATATATTTTTAAAGTATTTTTCAGAATCTTAATTAATATTTTAGTTTAAATTATTATAAATTTTTATTTAAGAATCAATGCATAAAAAAAGAATAAATCATTTTTTTAAGTAGAAAATTTATGATAAACATAAAAAAACAATTAAATAAAAAAATTATAAAATTTTGAAATGATTTTGTTACTGTATGACTTATAGCGTAGCATGAATAACCGACTAGTATAATATAAAGGGCGAAGTGTTGTGTATTGTAGATAATTTATCTCAAACTTTGATTTTTTTAAATAGTTAAAAGTAAAAAAGGGAAATAATTGCTCTATGGTGAGGTTCGTATGTGAGGATTAGGCGTCCATGGTTTGGAAAAATAATAGAATTCACATGATTAATTTACTTATTTTTTATATAATCAAAATTTATTTAAATTAATTTTGGAAGGGTTTTTTTATTCTAGTGTACTAGTTTCAAATTTATTCAGGTACATTCGGTAAAAGTTATGTATCGTTTTTAATATTTTTTATTTTACGTTCTAGGCTCTAAACCTATTCAATATAGTTGTGGTGTGTGTGTGTGTGTATGATCTAAATTTTTAGGTGTATATATATGTGTGTGTGTGAATTGTTGGTTTTATCATAAATTAACCATAATCTACACTCATAACACTAAGCATTCACTCGTTTATTTATTTAATTTTTTGATATTTTAAAATCAATCTCTCGAATAAGATATTTAAAATAATATTTGAAAAAAACCACTTGGTGATACCATATTCTTCAAATAAAGTTTTTTTTTTTTTTGAATGCTAATATTATTGATTACTTTGTGAATAAACATATACAAATCTAAAGAGGATTAGCTTAATATGTCCTTATATTTCCGGTTTAGTCTTCAACATTGTTGCTACCCGACACATAAAACTTTCAAAAATTTTAGCTAAGAAAAAAAAAAGTTTTGGAGTAGCCATCCAAAATTGAAAGGAACTAGAAAACCTAAGAAGACACTAGATTTAGAGATTTTGAATAAGAAGTTGATTATATCTTTAAAAAATAACAATTACTCAAAGACACCATTTCCTAAGAAAGATATTGAGTTTAGTTTAATTTTAAAAGTATCTTCTAAAAGGTATATTTGTCAAATTATTTTCCAAATCTATTTTCAAGCTGATTTGTCTAAGTTCAAAGAATGAGTTTTTTTTTTTTTTTTTTTTTTTTTTTTTGCGGAATCATATTAAATTGAAGTTGAATATCGAATTAGGAGTCTCTTCAATATAGTATCGAATCTAATTGCATCCTAATACAATTGACATGTCAAGAAATGACTTAGTAGTTAAAAGTATTTAATTTGCATGCATGTGGAAAAATGCCTCCAAATTTAATTTTTTATTCATAAAATGTTATTAAATTAACGTAGAGTCTTACAACTAAGAGTCTTGTCAATGTAGTATGGAATCCAATTACGTCCTAACACGATTGGCATATCAAGGAATGACTTAATTATCCTCGGGTGTTAAACCGACTTGTATCTTTCTTAACTAATTTTCCTTTTGCTTTTTTTTCTTTTCAGGTTTTTTTTTTCTTTTTTTTTTTTAAATAAGGCTTCAAGATTCTTTATTAAATAAGAAACTCGTTCGCTTGACTTAATTTTCTTAATTAACTTAAGATGAGATTTTTTCATAGTTTCAAATCGAACTTGATATGAGATATCGTTGGTCTTTAAACTCTAAAAGACTCGATGATCTCACATCAAACAAGATAAATTCAATTCAATAGTTAAAATACTCATAACATGGCATGGAAGAAAAATATTGACATAAATTTCATATAGAGTACAAATTTGATGAAATTTTTACAGAGACTCACTAAAACACATATATAAGTCTCCTAAAATTTCAATGCCAAAATTAAATCAGAAGTGGGTCCAAATATTTTAATTTCCGAAACAGCTCATTATCGATAAGTAAATTGATAGTAGGATAGAAAATTAATGCGAATAAATATCATATGAGCTCCTAAAATTAAAAGAATGGAAACGCAAGCTAAGAACAATTATATATACAAAACCTAAAAAACATTAGGTTAAAATTCTTAAAACAGCCCTGTCAAATGAATAAAATCCAAAACTAGCCCTTAAAATCACATTTGCATCAATTTAACTCCACATCCATTTCAAAGTTAAAGACACTATTGCAAGCAATTATTTTTTGATACTGAATCATGGAACCCTAATAAAACTAAGGATTAAAACACTAAACTAAAACAAACTGCCTAAATTCATTCGGCTACAAGCCTCTCCTCCTAACACACGTTATTTTTCTTCTTTCTCCATATGCAATTTCCTAAACAATTTTTTTTTTTTCATTTATTCCGTGTGTTACTCTTGATTTTTTTCTTTCTTACTTTTTTTTTTTTTTTTTTCTCTGCCAGGTTTCATCTCTCACTCCCCTTTCCTCATTCTTCTGCTACTTCTGCGTTCCTTCCTCTCCTTTTTAGCAAAAATACCCATTCTTCCCCATAGGCGTTCTCACAAAAAAACAATTGAAAGGATTAACATACTTATTTATCCTTATATAATACCTAATATCTTTTTTCTATTTTTAGATTTTAAATTATATTTCATTTATTTCTAAGTGTATTTGAAATATTTAATCTATCATTCGATTCTAATTTTTTGACAAAATAATTTTTTTTTACTAAAATACTCCTAATTGAAATATAAAATAAAATTAAATTATAAAGACTTCAAAAATAGATCATGTAGATCACATGACTTTAAGTATTTTTTTTTAAGTTTTAATTTTTTTTAATTTCGGTAAAGGGTATTTTGATAAAAAAAAATAACGATCAAAAAATTTAATTGGAATGATAAATTTAATATTTTAAAAATTTTCAGAGACATATGAAATGATATTAAAAATCTAACTGACAAATGAGAGATATTAAGTATTATATAAAGATAAATAAGTATGTTTACCTCCATTAAAAAGAAAAGATATGAACTTG